CTGAAGAAGCTATCGAATGTGTTCCTTGCCCGCCATTGGGAGCACGAGGAGCGTCCGGATGCGATCAAAGCGCTAAAGGGCATGATTGATGGCGCTGAGAAATTCCTTGTCACTGCACGCAATCTCACCAAGGAGACCAATCCCGAAAAGGATGTCTACACACAGGTCGAGATCGATACGCTCAGCAAGGTCATAAGCGACACGGGCTCATGGCTGAAAACCGAAGGCGCCGCCCAAAAGAAGCTCGCACGCAGCGCCGATGTCCGTTTAACTGTCAAGGATATAACCGATAAAATGGGTCTGCTCGATCGCGAGGTCAAATATCTGGTGAACAAGATCAAGATCTGGAAGCCCAAAGTAAAGCCCGACAAGGAGAAGAAGCCCAAAGAGACTGATGCTGGCGACGATCCAGCTGCGGCCCAAGGCAGCGGCAGCGGCAGCGGTGACAGCAGCGATAATCCCGACAAGGCTCAAGCTGAGGCGCCCAGCACCGAGAAGCAGCAGCAGGAGGCGAAGGAGGAGGAGCAGGAGCAGGTGAAAGCCACGCCCACAGTTGAGACAAATACGCCACATGGCGAACTCTAAAGCATGACATCACTAGACTATCACCAGTAGGAGCAGGCGAAAGAGAGCGCGAGAGAGAGCGAGAGCGAGCGAGAGAATCAGAGCCAGACAGAACGCAGGACGAAATGCAAATAGTGAGAAAAGTGGGCGGGGGGAAAAATGTTACGTAGAATGCATTTGGGCCCGGTCAGCCAATTGGTCGTCGGTTCGGATGAAGGATGACGGGTTGGGGGACCTGTGAAATTGATTGATTTGCATGCGGCGGGGAGGGGGGGAAAGTTGGCTAACTTGGATCCGTAGCGCCCAAAGCATTTCGTGTACACATAAAGAAAAGAAAGAAAAAACAACAGCGTTCAATGTATTTTGTTTTTTTTTTTTTTTTTAATTTTTATTTTATTTAAATTATTATTTTGTTCAAAACTAGCTAATGGCGGGGTTAAATTATGCTATCGTAAACTTAAATCTAAAACTAAAGAAATTTAATGAAATGTATAAATTCAATTTTCATTCCGTCGTGCTTTAAGTTCTTCATTCTATATGCCTGGATATATTATCTAAATAAATATAAATAAATAAAAAGACTTGAAGTACTCAAAACTCCCCCTCTGCAAACATGCTATATTTAACCATATTTATGTACACCTCACATCCAAAACAAAGTTAGGTAATTAATCGTTAATTAACGGATCAAATGCTGGGAAAACAAGCTCAAAAATAAATAAAATTTAGAAACACATATTAAAGCTGCTTAATTGTTGCTGCCTTGTGTACACATATATACAAAAATACTGATTTATATATACATTTATTTATTTCTGGTTATGTGTAATTCAAATGATTTCAGAAAGGGTATTCAAATTTCGAAACCTTAATTCGAAATGCATCAACATTTGTAAATATGTCAAGGAAGCGGCACCAGCTGATGCTGATGTACAAAATTCCAGTGCCTAATATCGATAGCTACTAATTAATCGAGCAGTAATGCATTTGCAGCACATATCGATATTAAATGCTAGTTCTGTTGTCCCATTTTGCGTTTGATACATAATCACAGCATTGTGAACAGATATTATTGGATTTTGAATGCAATTTGTGTATTTAATCGATTTAAATCAAGAAAGGAAAATTTTGCCTGCGATATTTTGTGCGATGTATGCACATTTTGGTGTTATTTCGATAAATGCATCTGTTCACACTGTTTAAGCAAGAAATATCGTCAGACGTTCGCGGAAGACGATGTACATAGATTATAATTCCGGAGACTTTTTACACGCCTACGTGATTGCCAAGTTTCGGGAGCATATTGTAGTTAAAGGCAATAATTCTAGTTTAAAATGTGCACGTCTTGGTTAACATATAGAACTCTCTAACTCCCAATAATTAAATTTTAAGCAACATAAGCAATAACAAAAAAGAAAAGAAAGAAAAAAAAACGAAGGCAATTCGCGTCCACACAAATACAAGTACAATAACTGCGAGACATTTTAGTCCATTTGCTACAAAAAATATGGCGAAGGCGAATTAGTGCAATCTTGGAAACTTTCATATGTACATACATAGTTAAAATTGATATATATTGTGTTCAGGTAAATGCCTGCGTCGTGTTGAATGTATGAATGTGCCTTAATACATATGTATGTCTATGAGATTTCTCGTAATGTTTGGGAGTGTGCAATGAAAACATGTGTATGTATGTGTTGTACATGGTAAGCAATTGATTTTGCTCGCACGGAGATGGGAAAAAAAAATTATATGAACACATTCAGCCCGTCGTTTCGATAGCACAACAGTGTGAATTTTTCTCAAAATAAATGCAATGGGGCGGAGTAACCGATTGGTAATATTCGTTTTAACATTCAACGTTTACGTTTACCCTGCATACATACATATGTATGTAATTTCATACATGCACACACACACACACACACACATATATGCATGTTGTGTGTGATGGTACAGAGTGCGAATTTCCATCTTTCGATAGCACGTAAGCGCACCGATAACTCTCGATTGTCATTGTTGCTCTGCTGACTGATTCTGTTGCGGCTGCTTTCGGCACGTACATACATTTGAATTACATACATATATATATATTTGTGTATGTGAGTCGCTTGCACGGCGACGGCGCCTGTCTGGCGAAAGTGATTTTTCAGTAAAATTTCGCAGCTTCAAGTCGACGGACGGAGTGGAGTGCAGCGCAGGTCGATCGGTCCGGTGGAGCCAAATTGACGATGTCGTAAAGGTGCCAAGCGGGCGTGCGATTGACTCCGTTGCTTTTTATTATTGTATCTGTGTGCGTGTGCGTGTGTGTGTGTGTTTATGTATACATATGTATGTGTCTGTCTGTCCGTGCATGTGTTATTGTTGACTTTTCAATTTTCTTTGCACTTGCCCGTATTGTTATTATTATTTTTTTATTTGGCTATACAGACTTAGAACGTATTGCGAACGGGTTCACTGCGTATATGCGTCTGTGTGCCGTCTGCATGTGTGTGTGTGTGTGTGTGTGTGTGTGTGTGTGTTGTGTGAATGTGTGCGTGTGTGGTATACGCAAACAAAGGAGCTCAGCGTTTTCATCTCACTCTCTTTCTGTTTTGAATGTGTAAAGTGCAGGACAAGGTATATTGTATATAACAAAGTGCAGCATGGCGGCGACGACGCTAGCAGAGGCAAAAGTGAAAAGTCAATTTGCTGCATTTGTGTGTACACACAGGCACACATATTGTTGTGCATAAGTGCGTACATAGTATATGCACAATGAAAACACATTAAAAATGATTATAGTCTATTACCATTTCGTTGATATGCTGTAAATGCTGACCATGCCAACATGTATGCATATATTTACATATAATATACATATATATATATATATATGCATTTACATGTGTGTAAGTGTGCGTGTGCTTATGCGTTTTTACATTGAACTGTTTTAAGCCAGTCAGTCCAGCAGCTGGGCAGGCAACACTGGACTCGAGCGCTCTCTTCGCTCTCTTACTGCTGCCCCCACTGTCGGCGTGAGCGTAAGCTTGAATTTGAGCACAGTGGCGCCAGAGGCGCCAAAAAATGAAAGCACCAACCACATTCAAAATGTTATCTCAGACAGTTGTGCTTAAGCATTGTAGGCACACATATGTACTTTGGCATGGAGAAAATCACTTTCATTCCACTATGCGCTGCCGCAGCTGTTCTGGGCAGCAGCTTTTACAGACTTCTTTTGCCTGCCTTTGTACGCACACACACACACACACACGCACACGCACGCAGAGAAGCGATAAGCTTGAAACACATTTAATTGTGCAGTTTGTTGTTATTTTAATTCAATTTTTTTTTGTGTTTTTTTGTAAATGTTATTGCTAAAATAACTCTGCAAGTGTGCTACAAGAGATAAAAAAAGAGTGAAGAGTTTCGTTGCATTCAAGCAAGTGCTAGAACAATATAAACAGAAAAGGAAAAACAAACAAAATTTGTTGGCCAAACAAATTTCAAATTTCACATTTCTCAATTTCTTATCGTATATAGAAGCAGAAAAGCTAAAGCTGAAGCTGACGCATCAAGTTTTAAACAAAATAAAACAAAAACAAAAGAAAAAGCAGCCGTGGTAAAAGTTGTATTTCGTTTTTGTTTCGAATGTTTCTTGTACCTGTTCAAAATAGTTTTGTATTTGCTGATAAAAACAAAAGGTTTTTTTTTTGCGTGTTTGTGGTTTTCTTGTTGTGTTTTTTTCTCATTTTTTTTCTTGTTTGCAACGCGCTTGCAAATGAAACACGTGCTCATATGGTTATCATCGTTTTGAATACGCAGAGTGAAGCCAATCAAAGGACCCCAGCAAAACGTGAGAGAGGAGGACATTGCTCAAAGTCAAAGCATTAGGAGAACGAAGCGACCGACGCCACAAAGCGGCATACGGAGAATACGGCAAAAGGAGAGCAAAGGCAAAAGCAAACGCAAAATCGACGGGTCAAAAGTCAAGTGCATACTGTGCGGGGGGGCAGTGCTGAAGGAATATGCGCCCGTTGTAGAATCAACTGATATAGAAGAAGAAGAAGACGACGAAAAAGTAGTAGTAGCAGAAACAATAAGCAATATTATATTAATAGCAACTAGGAGCCAACAATTACCACAATTTAAAACGCATGCGTGGGTAGCCGAGGTCAACTCGAAGATGTTGATAATTTTTCTGCCTGACGCTGCTGTTGCTGCCTTAATGACAGTTTAATATCAACTACCTCCAACAAAAATAAAAGCAACAATAAAAATACATAAGAGAATTACACGTAAGAGCAGCAGCCTTTGCCTAGCTACACTCGGTGACAGCAAGACGAACGCCATCTACCGTCGACCGTACGCACAACACGATAGCGAGAGTCTGAGCAAGAGCCCCAAACGTCACAATAACATAAATAAAAAAAAAAAAGAAAATATATATATATATAAGAAAAAAAGCAATACAAACAACGGCAAAAAAAAAAAAAACATAATATTCAAAACAAAGGCCAGCGAGACACCTAGACGCTTGCATTGCACATGTGCATGTGTGTGTCGGTGTGCGTGCCCGTGTCCGTGTCCGTGTCGGTGTGCGTGTGGTAGTAGTAGTAGTAGTTCGTGGTGCTGTTACCCGTTCCCCTCCTGCTACCACCATCCATACACGAACCGGCAACTGGGGCTCCGGTGGGCGGCGGATCCGTGATTAACTGTTATCACGTTGCCTTGCCCGCCAATATGGCGTGCCTTAACACACTAAAGCAAGAAATCAAAACACTGGAGAAAATCTTTCCGAAGAACCACGAACGTTTTCAGATACTCAATTCCAGCGTAGATGAACTTTTGTGCAGGTTCATCGATAAGAATGGCAAACGTTACGACATACATGCAAACATAACGGTAAGTACCACACACTAACAAACGGTTATCTTAAAGCTTATATACATGCATATATTGAACCGATTGCTTGATTCATGCTTAACCCCAAAGCTTAAAACAAATATTTTACTCTAGTTTCCATATGTGATGTAACTTATATTAATTATATAAATTATATTAATTGCGATTGCGTTTAATCTTTCAAAGATGGCGCAAAAATGGCCGGGCAAAGCCGGATAGCACCCAGCCGCATCGCCTCTTTCTTTCAATCTTTCTCGTATTCCCCACACATGCATGCATACACATGCATATGCGTATGTACATAGAGAAGTACCTGCCCCAATGTCGCTCTTCGTTTCGCATTTCTGGTGTCAAATGCTATTAACCGTTAATCATTCAAATTTGTATACATACACGTAAACCTAAACCGGTTAAAAAAAAACACCTTATATACAAAAACATAATTATTCAGTTGTTTCTAAAGACCAAATAACAGCCGTTTATTTACGTTTCAATTGATATTTGTATTGAATTCATATACATATATATAAAAAAAAATAGAAATAAAGCAAAAACTGTTAATGCAATCGTTTCGTTCAATCTATGCAAATTGTAAACACTATCAAATAACTCTCTACTCCCCCCCCCCCTCCCCCTCCTTCCTTCTGGCAAACTTGACGAAGGTCTTACACTTTTGAGCGCAAGCAGTTCCTGTGAGAGCGAGAGAGTTCAATTGCATGGGAAAAATGAAACTATGGCAAAAGACAACTAACTGCTAAGCTTGCTGATCTGCAGTTTTTACGGTAAAATTCCATTGGTTTATCCTCCAAGCTCTGCTCTCACTCTCTCGCTCTCGTTCTGTTGTTGTTTTTTTTTTTTATTGCTGTTAACTGCGCCGTTTTCTTTTTTCGCTCTCCCGGTTTCGCTTAGCTTAGCTCAGCTGTTGCTGCTGCTGCTGCTTTATTTATTTATTTATTTTTTTAAAGTTACCTTGAGGGAAACTTGGCTCCCATTTGACGAAATTTAGGCGTTTTTGATTATGGTCTAAATAATAACTAATTTTAGTATCACGTAGATACGATTTATCATATGAAATAATACTAATGTAAGGGTATTAAAACTTCGTCAGCCCAAAAAATTAATGTTATTTTTCTTGTTTTGTACCTTTTATTGTCAAGTTCTCTCACACGCTGTTTTATCGTGTTGTTGTTGTCGATTCTTATTTAGGGGCAGGCAGCGTGCTTCAATAATTTATGATTCATTGCCCTGCGCTCCACGACTTGCCAAGTTTGTTGCTTGCTTTCCGCCTCCGCTCCCTGCTCCCTGATCTCCGCTCCGGACTCCCGAATCTGCCTTGGTTCAACGATCTAATTAAAGGTTATATGTGCAATTTCATTGACGCTGTCTCTCGCCGCTTTTGTTATACTCCATATATATATATATATATAATTATGTACTTGTAGCAGCAGGTACTATACGGCTTTTCAAATGCGCCAGGTGCTTCCTATTCCTTTTAACCTTTTCACCTATATTCCCTCTGTTGTGCCTTCGAGAAGATCCTTGAGCTTACAGCTTACACAAAGCTCTCTGAAAGGGACTCGCTCTGATCGCATCTCGTCAGGATGCATACTTTATAGCTTTATATATATATACAGTTATATCAAGCCTTATAAATCGTGAAATATGTTTCTTTGCCGTTGCAGGAAACGTATCCATCATCGCCGCCAGTTTGGTTTGCCGAAAGCGAGGAGACGAGCGTTACAAATGCCGTGCAAATCCTTAGCAACACAAATGGTCGCGATAATCATGTGATTAATCAGGTGAGTGCAACCATTTCCCTTCCCCCTCTCCCCACCCCCCCCAACACTCTTTGCGGCAACTAATTTGCGATATTTTCAGGTTGGCATATTGCTACGCGAGCTATGCCGTTTACATAATGTTCCACTGCCACCCGATATTGATAATTTAACGCTGCCGCTACAGACGCCGCCGCCCTCCGCATCGCCGTTACGCTTGGAGCGTTCCGGCGGCGGGGGCGTTGGCGGTGGGCCGGGGCCGCATGGCAACGAGGAGACCGACTCAGATCAGGACGAGATTGAGGATCCGATCGGTGAGAGCGAACAGGAGAGCGAGGGCGACGAGGATCTACCATTGGAAATGGACGATGTACGGAATACAAATAAAGTGCGTAAAAATCAATTGAAATCAAGGATTTGACTATCAATAATCATGAACCTACTCCTCATCCTCCTCCTCCTCCTCCTCTTCCTCTTCCTCTTCCTCTTCCAAGCAGAAAGATGACATGGAGGTGGAACATTTAGCGACTTTAGAAAGACTGCGTCAAAGTCAAAGACAAGACTATTTAAAAGTGCGTAAATATATATATATATATTTGTGGATATCTTCTATATATATATTCCGTCTCGCACTTGCACTCATCCCCCATCTCTTTTCAATTGATGCAGGGTTCAGTTTCTGGTTCAGTGCAGGCAACCGATCGCCTCATGAAGGAACTACGTGATATTTATCGGTCCGATGCGTTCAAGAAGAACATGTACTCGATTGAGCTGGTTAACGATTCCATATACGAATGGAATATACGCCTCAAATCTGTCGATCCGGACAGTCCCCTGCACAGCGATCTGTTGCAGCTAAAGGAGAAGGAGGGCAAGGATAGCATACTGCTGAATATACTGTTCAAGGAGACATATCCCTTCGAGCCGCCCTTTGTTCGTGTCGTGCATCCCATCATCTCAGGTGCTGCGCGCATTCGAAACGAATTGTGTTCAATCTGTTTAATAACTCTGATTTAAAAATCATAATCCAGGTGGCTATGTGCTGATCGGCGGTGCCATTTGCATGGAACTGCTGACCAAACAAGGCTGGAGTTCCGCCTACACAGTCGAAGCCGTGATCATGCAAATTGCCGCGACGCTGGTCAAGGGCAAGGCGCGCATACAATTTGGTGCTACCAAGGTGCGTAACGCCTCTCAATCGAAATCTTATCAAATCTTCAACTCATCTCTCTCTCTCTCTCTCGCCCTCTCGCTCTCGCTCTCTGTCCAAAGCAGGCGCTCACCCAGGGCCAATACAGCTTGGCACGGGCCCAACAAAGCTTCAAATCTCTGGTGCAGATCCACGAGAAGAACGGTAAACCAAATCGACTATCGAATATATATATATATATATAGAAATCATAATGAATATACATTTGTTTATTTGCCAGGTTGGTTCACGCCGCCAAAGGAGGATGGCTAAGGTTTGTTTGTCGTTTAAGAGTTGTTCTAATAAGCTTAAGGGGGAACGGACGTATGCCAAATTCGTCGCCGCGCTCATCCGTATAAAAAAAAAAAAATAAAAAAAACCCAACCCAAAAAATACCAGACACATGCGGCCAGATAGGCCACATCCGAGTGTATCAGTAGTAGAAGAAGCAGAAGCAGACGCCTCAGTCAGAGCCGGCGCAGCGACAGCCACAGCCACAGCAGAAGCAGCAGCAGAAGCAACAGGAAAAAAAGAAGAAGAGAAGCAACATGCAAAATCGAACCCGCCATTCAAACATTATTTCTATAATGAACGTTGCCGTCGTCGTTCACGTCGTTAAGTTCTGCAATTTGTGTATACTTGATAAATACATGCATATATGCATATACACACACACACACATACATATACACATACATACATACATAATGCAAATAAATCGAATTAAGATTGTAATCTAGAATTTTATTTTTTTTTCTTCCCAAAAAATGTCATGTTTTTTTTTTTATAACAATTGTCTGTGGCTCCACTCGTGTTGTATGTATGTATTTGTAATTGTTCGCGTGTGTGTGTGTGTGTGTGTGTTATTTTTTTGTATTTGTATTTGTATTATGTCTTGTCTTAGCTCTTTTATGTGTATGTATTGTAAAAACAAGAGGCGAATTCAATCATCGCTTCGCAAAATAAGAATTTTTGGCATAATTTTTTTTTTTTCTAGTTTATTTTTTTTTGCTAAGAGTACTCCAACTCAGACAAATTGCTTTGAATTACGTATAGGTATACACATATATATATATATAAATAACAATCATAATATATTTATAATTGTAAACGATAAAATTGTACAGTTAGCTTCAATAATTAACAAATTAACGATTATAATAACGATAACGATTGTAAAAGCAATTTATGCATATATATATATGCCGATTTGTATATCTAATGTAAATGTCCGATTAACGCAGGAGTTGCCACACTGTGTAAATGTCTTGAATTCTATTTGAATTTGCTTCATTTGTTTTTTTTCCGTTTTTGCAACGTTACATTTCGTTCACAATGGTGGGACAATGGACGATGCGCTTTTGGATAAAAACGCAAAAGAAATCACGCATACACACACACACACATCCGCACACACACACACGAATCCATATACACACGCCTAATTGTAATTAGTTAAGTGACGTAATATATTAATATTTTTTGTAGCTATTAAACATGTAACCTTATATATTTCTCTTTAGCTCTAAGGGATTGCGTATGCGGATGTAGTTATAGTTCATAAACATATATCTATATATATATATATATACAAAAAAAAAAACAAAAACAAAAAAATATATATACATATGTGTAGCATATACAACTAGAAGAGAGAGTTAAAACGTTAAGCATAACGGAATCGAAAAGTAAACGCAAAACTGAGCATAAGCAAATTCTAACTGTAAATTCGTCTTTCCAAATAATCGTACCATATTGAGTAAAAATAGAAAGAAAAATACGAAACAGAGCCCAATAAAAATAAATGCAAAAATTAAATGAAACAACAAGCAACAACAAATCGATGCAAAAATAATAAGAAATTGAATATTGAATACACTGAGCGTAAATCTTGACGTTTTCCTTCTTTCATTTTTCTTCTTTTTTTTTTGTTTTTTTTTTATAACATAATTGTTTTATTATTAATATTTTGATGATTTTTCTAACAATAATTAAAACGAACGTGAATTTAGCTTTGTACAATCCCCCCGCCCATTTGGCATGTGCATAATTATGTATGCGAATCGAAAGTGAAAAGCAATTAGAATAATGCTTATGTGCGACGGGCTGAGGTTTAAGCATGCGCCAAGTCTATAGAATTGGCTCCGGGTCAGTCGACAATGACCACATAGTTGGAGGCCGCCTTTGAGGGATGCATTTTGGGCGTTTTGTTATGTGTGTAGCGTAGTGTGGGCGCCGTCTCCTCGTTGTTGTCCAGCGCACCGCCAATGATCATCTCGAGAGCGCCCTTCACCTGCAACAGTTCACAGGTCAGACGAATCTCGGCCTGCATTGTCCGCCTGAGCCGCTCCAGGGCAGACAGCATCTGTTTGTTGTAGCTAAATACATTGTTCTCGAACACATCCATTACGGCGCTGGCGGCATTCAGGAGCGGACGCATAAATCGCACCTCACCCATATGATCGCACAGAAAGTTAATAAACTGTATGATCTTCTCGTCGGGTCGATTTGTGAGCGCCGCCTGCAGTGCGCTGCGATGCTGCAGCTCTGTGATGACGGCGACAACGTTTTCCGGAAACTTCTCAATGTTCCGGCGTGTACAGACAAAGTCAAGCGCCTGCTTATAGTTGAATTTGCGCAGATGTATATCGTACGGTTTGAGCTTGGTTGCGCTTCTTTTGACGGTAATTACATGATCAACCGGTTGGCCAGTATTTGGACGCGCCAATCTCTTGAAATGCTTCTGCCGATGGCTGGCCTTGATTTGCTTCAGATGGCTCGGTTTGCTGTCGACAATCATCCGTTTGATGGAGACCAAGCCATCGACCATGCCGGCAACAACAGCCTGATCCTTGGCAGCAACGGCCAGGCTGACCACCGCATTTGGATAGGTAAGTGTGTGCACCGTTTTATATGTGCTAACATCATAGATCTTGACATGACGATCCAGACCGCCGGAGAGCAGACGCCTGCCGTCGGAGCCCAGACGCAGACACGTTATCGTCTTGTGGTGCTGTGACATGGTCGTTAGCAAGCGACAGCCACTGATTAAATCCCAGACGCGCACCTGTGTGCCGCCGGCTGTGATGAATATTGAACCGCTCGGCAGGAACAGCATCGACTCAACGGGACTGCCATGATCCAAGGTTTGTGTTATTGCCTGTTCGGCGCGCGTGTCATAGAGATTGATTTTACCATCATAGCCGCCGGAGATGAACATGTGCTTCGCCTGCGGATGCATGGCACCGGCTCGTATATAGTCGCTGTGCGCATCCTCATATGTTTGCACCACCTTCTCGTTCGCCACATCCCAGAGACGGACGGATTTGTCGTCCGCAAAGCTGGCCAAATGCAGTTTGTCGGCCGTAAAGAAGGTGCGATGCACGGGCGCCTTGTGGCCCTTGAACAGACGCAATATGCTTCGGCTAGTTGTATCGAAAAGCTTCACATGACCCTCCTCGTCGCCGGCGGCCAAAAGGCGACCGTCCTGCCTAAATGTGGCACCGTACGCGGTCTTTTGGAAGCGTGACAAATTCTTAACCACCAGCTTTGTCACCAGATTGTAGATTTGCACACGCACCGAACATGTCAGCACAAAATTGTCTGGATCACTTGGACTGAAGTCTATATAGTCGATCGTTGTGTGTTCCTTGAGCAGCTCCGGTTTCTGTTTGGTGTATTTGTAAATTCGATTAAAGTATACGCAACAATACTATGAAAACATGCTCACCGCCAAGCGATTCCAATATATGGTGTCGGGTGTGACTACTTGGGCCTTTTGCTGAAACCGTCGCACATTTAGTGGCTGGAAATTAGTCATTTTTTTCTGATGTTGTGGTCGTCAATTGGCGTCGGCGCGCGCACGTGGAAGTGCAACAATATGTTGGGCCTTACAAACTTCGATAGGCTTATCGATAACACTCGATGACTGCCGTCTGGTCACATTCAATTGGCGTACGATCAGCCTGTTTGACAGCACTGTTAAAATATCAATGTTATTTATATGTCCGCATTAATAGTTGGTAATTTTTATTTTGTTTTGCCTGCAGCCTTAAATGGAATTGCCAACTTAACTTCTGGCGAATTCCCAACTATATTTGGATATTTTATGCACTTTACAGCCTTTGCTGAGAATTCAAGGATTGCCATTGTTTTGAAAAGTAAAGCTATTAAATGTGCAACCCAAGACATTAAATGGTAGCCGTGTAAGCTTAACAGAGTGCTGTAAACCAGCTGTGCCTTACAGCATGTGTACTCGATGTTAGTATGTGAGGTATCGATACATATAGTAACAACAATAACAACAGGCAGGCACATTTATTTACAAAATAATTTGTTTAACGTGTTTCGTTGGCGCTTTATGCGAATTGATGCCAAATACAGCACAGCCGCAAAGTGTGATTGATTAAAAGTGGCCGCAAAGGCAACGCGGGCTCGTCAGAAGTAAATAATAGCAACAACAACAAGAGCCACAATAGCCACCATATAGATTCAATTTTAATTGAAATTTATTTAACACCGCCGCTCTCGTCTCGCTGCGTCTTGAATGTGAGCGTTATATATTTTAGGCACTGCCAAACAGCCCCTGCCCGCCTCCCTTAACCGATCAATCCATAGCGCTCCACTCGTGAATCTTTTAATTAACCAAAGATGGGCCCGTCTCTGGCTTGATGAATGGCAAAAGAGATAGAGGAATAGACAACGCACAAGATGTGGCAAATTTAAAGGCAACTATTAATTGACAGCAATAAATGTGTTCAATACAATTGAATCGAACGCAAACGATCAATAGTCGCCAGCAGCTGGAGAGGCACAGATCGCAGCGGAGCTTCCAAAAATGGACGACGTTATGAATGTGGACTTTAACAATGAGAAAAAGGTGCTGTGCGAGAAAATCATACGTGACATCAACGCCGTCTTTCTCAAGGATGCCGACCTGTGAGTTGCATATAAAGCGTATGGCAGAGTTGGACGCGCGCCGGACTTAGTCCATGGCCATGTCCATCTCTAGCATTTTGTTTCAGTTACAGTTCAATTAAATATCTTGTGAATTGGCCACATTGCAGATCCTCTTTTGAGATCATACCCAAGGAGACGAACTGCAATAAGTCGCCGGTGGTGCATGTAGATCACAATTTGGGTCTGGAATCGTGGTGCGCCCAGCATGTGTATGATCATGCGCACCGAACGCTCATCTCGCATCGCCGCCAGACAATGCAGCAACAGTTGCGCACACTGCAGCAGCAGCAGCAGAGCGATGCCCTGGCCAAATATTTGAATGTGGCGCTATTGATTAATCCGGATGTGACCACCTTTTGGCATATACGCCGGCAGCTGGTGCAAAAGAATCGCTTGAGCATCAACAAGGAGCTGCAATTCTCGGCCCTGGTGCTATCCATAAAGCCAAAGTCCAACGAGGCGTTCGCCTATCGTCGCTGGCTCTACTCCTTTCAAAGTAGGTGTTAGATATTGACATAGATTTAGATATAAATTTAATGAGATCCTGTTTCATATGAAATAGGTGCCGATGCCATCGACTGGCCACACGAGATCAGCATATGCGAACGCGCCGCCGATCGTTGCTCCAGCAATTATCACGCCTGGTCCCATCGCCAGTGGGTGCTGCAGAATGCGCCCTGCCTGCTGCTGTCGGAGCTGATGCGCACGGAGAAGTTTATACGCAAGCATATTAGCGATTATAGCAGCTATCACTATCGCCAGGTGCTGCTCGGACGCGCCTACGAGCTGTGCTTCTATATGCCCGACGAGTCGCAGCCGCAGTGGGCCAGCTTGCGTGAGCTGCTCGCCCAATACCAGCTGAACTGCTCGGAGCCAGCTGGGCCGGATGCGGAGCCGCTGCTGCAGCTGCTGTTGCCCAATCTGAATCGCAGCAGCATCAGCGCTCAGCGTCTGCGCTCCTTTCTCTACTGCTGCAACGTGGCCGCCAGCGATATGCGTCTCTGTGCGGAACAGCGTGCACTGTACGGTGCACGTGACTGTTTCGAGCTGCATCGACGCGCCTCCCTCAAGTTCATTGTGGAGCAATGTGTGCGCCTGCTGACAGGCCTGGCCAGCGGTCCGGGTCTGTATCTGGCGCCCGCCAGCGGCACTCAGTCAAATGAGCTACGCAAATTCGATTATGATTCGCATCCGTTTCTGGTGGCCGTGCGGCGTCTGGAGTTTCAACTGGGCGATAAGCACAGGCGCTGGTGTAATATGCATCTCAATTTTGGCCATCACGAACAGGGCGGCAACTAGACGCGGCCACGCCCACTAAATACCCATTTTGTTTGTCAAATGTGCCGTAAACGCAACGCACTCATGGAGGCTGTTCGTTCTCAAGCAGAAACGAAATCAAATATATTATTATTACATATATACACATATACATACATATATATATGTACATATAATATATATGTATGTACACACATATGCAAGTAGTTCTCGTTACGTAGAGTCTACGCTTGTGGACCACCTGAACCCCGAAACCTCCCTCTAATTAATTAATACATTGTCTAACTCTTAAGGCTAAGCTCAAAGCGAAACATTTATCTAATTCTGTATTCCAAACTGAACTACATTTGCAATTTGTAATTTTTAAATTCATATATGTCGTATATGTTATGTATGCACATCGGGCGTAGAGATATATATATATATTTGTTCAGTTAGCGAATGAACTGGCGCTTTCGTGCATGCAATGACAATTCTTATGCATTTTAATCGAGATCAATCAAAGTTCAGTTACAACATTTCGTGTTCTATATATATATATACATATATTAAATGCTCTATTAGTTATATCTAGCTATATTTGTATGTAGAATCATATATAGCTAACAATATATATTTATATATATATAAAGGCGCCACAAAATGCTCTATTTAAATTTAATACAAGTGTTGTTCACCAGAAATAAATTTGTAATGCACGTTTATTAGCTAATTTGCGGTTAGTTTTAATAATATATATATTCAACAAGAACTTTTATTTATTAATCTTTTCAAAATTGTTAAACAATTTCCAAAAAAAATACTAGTTCAATCGGTTTCTTCACAAGGAGATCTTAGGTTTTATATATATGCAATCAGATTATTTGATGTGGAATCTACCATTTCAGGTATTGAATAATCACATATTTATACTCATACGATGTGAGTGTGTATGTATGTATGTGTGTGTGTGTGTGTGTGTGTGTGTGTGTGTGTGTGTGTGTGTGTGTGTATGCGTGTGTGTGTGTTTGTATGCTTGCTTATGTATGTATGTATGCAAGCTGTCTGTGGATATAGGTATGCATGCATATGTACGCATGTGTATAAGTATGTATGTATGTATGTGTATAAGTGTGTATGTATGTGCATAAGTGTGTGTGTGTGTATGTGCATGTATCTATGAAAATAAGCATGCATGCATGCATGTATGTTCAATTGCATAAAACAAAGGCAAATTGAATAAAAACGTATTTGTTAGTGCAAGCTCTCCTCTGCGATTCTCAAGAATTTAAGTAGGACTTGCACGTCTTCGTGCTCTGATAGTAAGTGAAGTGTTACGTTAACAAGTGTTTTGGCAGTCAACCAACATTAATCTGTGTGAGTGAGGGTATGTATGGGTGAGTGTCTGTATGTGTGTGAATGTATGTATGTATGTGTGATATGTATGTGTGTGTGATATGTATGTGTGATATGTATGTATGTGTGATATGTATGTGTGATATGTATGTATGTGTGATATGCATGAAGGTATATATGAATGTATGTGTGTGTGTGTTTGTATGTGTCTGCGTATGTGTATATATGTATACGCAAGGAAGCTGTAATTTTCACTGTAGTTTTCTTGCGTGATGAAGGTGCACGTTAAGATGGGGTTTCGGGAAATGCCACCCGCATGTTTAGAAAATTCGCGAAAAACGTTTATACGCGGGTTATATCAGCCATTATCCCATATAGTGGACAGGTGAAAATTTTCCATACCCACAACTTGGTTAAAACTCATTCGATTTTCATGAGGTTTGGGTCTTTGGTCATGGTTTCGCCTCTAGATCAGTTTTGCATCTAAATCTCGTAACTTTATTTTTGGTACGAATTCGGTCAAAACTCTCCCGATTTTCATAAGGTTCCGCTTTTTGATTATGATTTGACCTCATTATCAATTCAAAGAAAAGAATAAATCTGTTTTAATATATTCTAATTTTCAAACAATTTTTAAGGCAAATTAATGATTTAATTCAGCTTAGGTTACATTGTTAATACTGAGTTGATTATTTAATAATAGTATATAAATAATAAACAATAATCCTAAAGGGACCGATGCTCTGTATGTCTTTGAGAAGGAAGCTTCGTTTCTCTCATCACTCACCAGGCTTTTGTGGGCTTTAACTTATTGGGAATTACAAACGCCAATCAACGCAATAAGCAAAGCAAGAAGCATTAACAGTGCCCATATTCTGCATGTTTTACTTTGCTTGCAAGCGCCTTGTTTCTTTTTCGAAGCCTTAACTTATTGAGAATTACAAACGCCAATGGCTTTCAATTGTTGATTGGTTAAAACTGGTTTATTTAAAGAAAAGCTGCAGTGTCCTTCGTTCGGCGCATGACTCGAACATGCTTAAATACAGTGAGTCCCAATTGTTGTCGCATCTAGTTGCAGTAATAGGCTATTTGCCTCTACCAATTACGCTTTCAGTTCTTTCCAAGAGGGAAATTTAATTTGTTTGTTATTTTGCTCTGAAGCCGCAAAGACGCAGCTGCTTAGCTGGCGACCCAGCCGCAGGCCATTGAAGGACTTGTGAACAGATGCGAATGGCTGATGGCAGGGAGGGGGGGGGGGGTGTTTTGGGTGTGGGTGTGGTAGGTGTAACGGTAACGTTGCTGTTGTTTGTGCTAGGAGGTCGCATTGGCTTTTACATGGGCATGGCATCAACATCAATCAGTGCGCATGTCAGCTGCTAGCAAAGGGCCATGCTCACAATGGCGAGATGACAACAACAACAACAACAACAGCCGCCGCAGCAGCAGCAGCAGCAGCAGAAGCAGCAGAAGCAGCAGCAGCAGCAGCAGGTTTTGGTTCAGTGCGCTAGTGGAGGAGTTTGCGTGCGGCCGAGCCTTGTCAACAGCGTCGAGACGTCGAGAGGCAAGAAGTTAAAGCAAAAGCGAAAGCAGTGCCAATCGAGACAGACATCAGTTAGGGAACGGTCCTTAATTTGGCAACTAAATAGTGTTATTTTTCTTGTGTGTATGTTCGACTGGTTTGTTTGTTTGTTTTTTTTTTTTTTTTTTGAATACAAATTTGCAAGGTGAGCGTTTAAATAATAATATGGCAGACAAATGCAACAATGTCGAAATGGCATAGTAAATGCCAAAAGCAAAGGCAAAGCCAAGCGTAAAAACAAAGACAATGGCAAAGACAAAACAAATAAACATTGAACACGAGTTTTCAATATATGTGCACACACACACGCACATGCATACAAATTTACGCATGCTATTACGCATATGTATACAGTGTGGCCAGCACTTGAATGCGTGTGTGTGCGTATGCGTGTCGCGTGTGTGTGTGTGTGTGTGTGTTAAGCACTGGGGATTTGCTTTTAAAATGTTAATTTTTCTATTTTGCATTGCATATTTATGATTTTATATGCCTAAATGCTGGTCTGGCGTTGGCTTTCCGGTTGAAAGGGGCGTGGGTGCGAGTGGGTGGTTGGGTGGGTTGGTCTAGGCATGTAAATCGTTTAACTACGCTTCAGCTGTAGCCTTGAAGGGAGCTTCGTGTTCGAAGGTCGCTTGCAAATCGGTTGAGCTCTCTGCAGCTGAAATGAATGCAAATTAATAGTGTTGAAAAGCTTTGAGTTCTTAAGCTGGTTGCATTAACGGTTTAATGAGCGCATACATATGCATGCATATACATACAAACAACATACATAGAATATATATGTACATATGAATGTATATGTATGCAGATCTAAGCACACAGTCACACAAGCTTCTGCCGTTAGGGGCGCTTTTGTGCGTGCGTGCATGTGAACAGCCAATGGACACACCTGATGATTTTTTGTGTAAGTGTGTGTGTGTGTGTATTGGGAAGAGTATTTGTTGGCAGGCCAACGCGACAATGGCACAGACATTATCAATGCCATATACGTACATACACATGTACACATTTGCATAGAAACATACATGCATACATATGCATGCATGTGTATTCATCGTGAATGTGTATGTACATATGTCAGTTTGTAATGTCTGGGTGCATAACGGCTTGTTATTTTGTTACTCATCATTATGCATACCACTTGCACTCCTTCGCCTTCTCTTCCTCTCTAGCAGGTTAACAGACAAGAAACAGCTCAACATATCGATAAATACATAGAGAGCAAACAGTGGATATCCCTTTAACATTAACAACAACAACAGCAACAACAACACAAGCAACAGCATCGATTCTAACAGTTTGGTGCTGACTGCGCTGCTGCTGTTGGCAGCGGGCAGCGTACAATGAACTTTCTTATGCAGTGTGCCCAATAACACACACATACACACACGCGTACACTCACTATAGATGCATAACGGTTGGCAGCGTCGACGGCGGCAGCAATGGCCACAACGATGTTGACGTTGGGAGCGAGGACAACGAAGCAGTTGACAATTGAGAATCAAATGCGCTAACAGTTAATTACGCACACATATTTACACATATTTGGAAAGCGATATGTCCGCACTATGGTTTCCGTTTTCGGCATGCAACAACCAGGAACAACAGCAACAACAACAACAACAACAACCACAAGAAGCACTCAGCAGAATCCGTGCCTGCTGTTTGTCGTTGTTGCGGCACATTTAGGCTGAGACACACACACACACACACACGCGCGCGCGCACACGCACACGTACACAGAAATTGCATTTGAAAACCAATTTTGAAAAAGCACACAACATTTTGCAAAAGCAAAAAGAATTCAAATTATGGGCAGCCTGCCGAATCTGCATGAACTGGAGGAGGCGGAGCGTAAACGCGAGAAGCGCAGGGAGTACGAGCTGCTGCTGGAGCAGCGCGCCAGGGACACCAGTCGGGAACGCGAGCGCCTGTCGCAGTTCGCTCAACAGCGCAAGGTGAGTTCGATAAATGATCGCTAGAGGCGGTCGATAATATCGATAACATGTGCAAGCAATTGGGCAATTGACCAATTGGCTTTGCTGCTGTGCCATCCAATTGGAATTCTCAATTGGATAACTGGTCTGGACAGCTGCACATTGCGTGCATGCTTGGCCTGGCCACCTACTGCGTGCTCTTAAAATAATCTGTTTACGTCTTCAATGCAGCAATTCTCCTACAATGCTTACATTATGGCTGGCCTGGGCATTGGCGGCGGCGTCGGCGGCGGCTCGCTGTGTCTTACGGCAGCCAATGGGCATGGCAATGGGGAGCTAGCCAGCGTCAATGGCATAAAAACCCAATCTCTTGCCGAAACAACAACAACAACAACAACAACAGCGGCGACAACAACGGCGACAACAACAACACAAGCGACAGGAACAACAACGTTGAGCGGCTTTGCCATGCTGGGTCTGGCCGGCAGCTTGATGAGCGCCAAGAAATATCCGCATCCTTACCATCAGCACACGCATCCGCATCCGCATACGCATCCGCATCATCAGCATCGACATTCGCTGACCACACGGCATCGCGTGCTGCGCACCCGGACACGCAGCTCCGGCGGTCCGCATAACGTTTGGGACGACCAATTGATGGAGGTGAGTGGGTGGTTGGGTGAATGGTTGGCTGGGTGGGTTACTGCTTGTGCGTGGGCTGAAAAACGTAAACCTGATGCTACGCGTTATAATCCTGGCCAGGGTCTGGCCAGCAACTGGGACGGGCACTCGTCATTTATTTATAGTCCTTGCAAATTGTGCCTTTGACGTTCAGCTTTAATTTGGCTCAGTGCCATTCAGCCAGGCGGCTAGTGGCGGCTGGTGGTGTAGGGGGGGGGGCAAAGAGGAAGTGGTGGGGTGGGGGTGGTGTTGGTCAAGTGTCAGCAACAGCTACTGGATTAACGCCCCCACAACCATGAGAAGTAATTATACGCAAACACAGACACGCACATTCCCGTTTTAATTGCGTTTTAAATGGCCTGTCGAAGGTGTGGGCAAAGGGGAAGCGCAAGGGTGAAACAGAATCCAATCGGACTAATGTGGCTAATGTGAAAAACACAAATGGAAGAAGCTTCACGGTCAGCTCAGATGTCAGCGCTGTCAATTGCGAATCGGACACAAATATTTAAAGGCAATAAAAATAATAAATTGCACTTGTCGGGAGTGACCGACTTGGGTATACTCTGTAATCAGAGGTTCAATAAGTTGTCGTAACACTTGAATTTACCGTTACGAGCGAATACAAAATATACTATAAAGAGCTCTGTTTGGGATTGCCAGACTTGGGAATACCCTGTAACCAGTTTTGATGAGATGTCGTGACCAAACACTCGACCTTCTATTTACAGATACATGTATCTATATAGACATGGATTAATTTGGGAATTCTTAGGGAATTCTAAAGTCTTTATACTTATATACTCTCCTAAGACAGCAGCTTAATAAAGATTCTAATCGATTTTGTGGGTTACGTGCGAAGTTATCGATAAATAAAATAAACTTCTGAGCGTTGCAAGGACCTTAGAGCGAGTGGGGAGGCGTTCATAGAGACAGACAGGAAGACAGACGGACCGACACACCTGGCCCTTCTACTACTGGGAGCTTTTGCATACATTTTTAAAGATATCGGTAGCCCTTCGCACATCTATATGGCGTATGGCTTCAATTGGAATAATTGGTGGGATGTAATTGATTGAGTCATCAATCCGATCTGAGTGGGAATCTTAAAATGCCAGAGACTTGATATAAATATATATTTAATTCTTTTATCGATAGTTGCTGAAACTTTTACAAGATCGATAAATATCGATGCATTTCTTATAGTGTGAGAAAGAAGATAAATATGTATGAATAGAATAAAAAGGGTAAATAGGGTAAATAAATAATAAGTAGGCAGCCTTGAATATGTATGAGGGCAGTTGGCGATTCCGGGTGCAGGGTATCTGCCAGCGGTTGGGCACACCCGCTCTATATAATATTTGTGATTGATCTGGTTGTTTGGATGTTTTTTCTCAATCTGCAGCATATGACCGGCTACTCGCCGTCGCCGATCTCGACGCGTTCGCATCGAATAAATCCCGTGTCCTCGTACCAGGTGCAGGCCGCGTTGGCGGCATCGCGACGCCGCGAATCGATAAACAGCTCCATTGGGGCGACCTCGATCCGGCGGCTGATCACGCTGAACAACCGCAACTGCCGGCACAAGGTGCCCGCCCATGTCCGGCAGAGAGTGTGGCGCCAGTTCAGCTGCCTGAGCATCGCCCACGGCCTGATGAGCGCCGTCCTGCTGCCGGTGATGGCGCTGCAGGGTTCCAGCTCTGTGTGGCATCATCGCGAACAGTGGCTGCCGCTGGGCCCCAACATTGGATCGCTTCTGCTGAGCGCCCTCTTTCTGCTGGCCGCCGTCCTCAGTGTGCCGGGCACACGGCTAATACGCCGCTTTGGCTATATGCCGCTGCTGGCGGCCAACTCGTTGGCGGTGTCGCTGTTCCTGCTGGCGCATCTGTACGCCTCCATCTATACGCTGCTGCCGGCGTATTTGGTGCTTGGTATTACGCTGAGCGCCGCCAACAGCTGCAAGGCGGCGCTCATTGTGCACTTTGGCGGCAAGCTGAGCTGCGCCCAGCACGAGTGCCCGCTGGTCGGCACGCAGACGCAGACCCAGACGCTGACGCCGTCGGATGCGTTGCACGAGGAGCACAAGATGTTCTGCAATCGGGATCAGAAGGTGCGACGGCTGGCGCGCTGGTATCGCGCCGCCCAGGATCTGGGCCTGATTCTGGGCGCCTTGCTGGCCTCGCTGCTGCTCGCGTGCAATGCCAACGATTGGAACTGCTCGGCGGGCACCGTTGAAGCGCTGCCAAATGGAACGGAGCCCCCGCCGGAGGACTATTACAATCGCAACGAGCACAACGAACGCATTTGTGGCGCGGACATGTGCCCGCTTCAGCTGCAGCAGCTCAACTGGCCGGCGAACAGCACACGCTCGATATACGCGGGCTTCATTGAGAGCGGCGATCGCGCCGGCGGCCAGTCCCTGCTCTGGCTGTACGAGCTGCTGTCACTGTTGGCGCTGATGTTGTCCATGCTGCAGGGACGTCGACTGCTGGCCGTGACGGGACGGCACGAGCGTGTCGTCAAGGATGTCACGGATACGCTGCTGTTTGCCGGTCCCCTGGCGTATTTCATCGGCACCGAGCAGGGCTATATGCTGGGCGATTTTTTGCGCGCCTTTGTCTCCTGCTCGCTGGGCATTAGCATGATACCGGGCGCCCTCATCGGCATGGGCCTGATGCAGCTGATCGTCTCCTGCACGCTTAGCATGCTGCTGCGGCACACCAAACGCATTGTGGTCATATGTAAGTAGACGCCATTTATATGTTATTTGCTTCAAACTTAATCGATTTACCCGGAAAGCCGTCAAGCTCGAAATAACATTCATACAAACAAAACTCGAGCTGCAACATGTTCGAACTTATTTGACTCGCACCGAATGTTCGGTCGAGTCGAGCTACTCAATTTTTTGTCCGAACTCGAACAGTTTGACCGAGCCGATCTGTTCGAACTAAACCCGAGCTGCAGCATGTTCGAGTTGACTCGCGATTATTTCTTCAAATCGAACCAGTCGAGTCAATTTTTGTCTGCAAATCGAACAGTGCGAACGAGCCTATCTACTTAATTTTTCGTCCGCAATTCAAACACTCAAAACTCAATTTGGTTGTCCACAACTCGAACAGTTCGAGTTCGAATCGAATTGAGCCTTGACTGGCTCAAGCGAAACAAAATTGTTCGGGTATTTGATATTAGAGTTTCGATTAATTTATTGCTTCCATATATCTAATCGTTGGGCTTGCCCAGTGGCTGGTTTCTTCTTTCATTCATGCTTGCTGCTGGCGCTGTCCAGCTGGAAGCCATCGAGCGATGACAGCGCCCTCTTCTATGTGATAGCCGCCTCGTGGGGCGCCTGCAATGGCATGTGGGAGACGCTGCTCCTGTCGCTGATCACCCTCAATCATGTCCAGCACGATCAGGTCACGGAGGTAAATGCATCGCTGCAAGCGCTCCGCTTTCTTGGCCTGGCCATCACGTTTGCGGCGCACGGATTCCTCTGCGAATCGGTGAAGATCATTGCCCTGGTTGTGCTGCTGGTGATCTGTGTGCCGCCGTATGCGATGCTGGAGATGCGACTGGAGGCGCAGCGGAAGGCGACGCTCATCAGCTTATGACGCAGCTACTTCAGCTAGTCCAGGGGGGGGCGGGGCACTGTGGCACGTACGCACACCATGTAGATGTGGGCGAGCGGAGCCACAGGCCGAGCGACTGAGAAAGACAGGATAACAGCAAGGACACCCATCCAACGGACACGGAGCCGAGCCCCCAGGCGTGCCGCAGTCCTGCCAATCTAACCAGTATTTAAAGAGACACGGAGCGAGAGGAAGGAAGAGCGAGGTAGGGCGAATGAGAGGTAGGAATAGCTCTTGCAATATTTGATTTTGTATGCCAAAGATTTCCACCCAGCTCCAGACTTGGAACATTTGGAGCACTTAGTCCAAACCAAAAGCTAGACCCCAAGTCCATAACTGTTAACTGTCTATATACCTATATATATATGTTATTATATATATGTATTGTATATCCATAATATATATCTTATTGTATCTATTAATCTAATCAAAACATGTGCCAGTGCCAACAATGTTGTTCCAAATCCTTACGAAATTTGGACTAGACAAGTCCACAGCCTATCTGATTAGTTAACGCATATATCTATATATATATCTGTAGGATAATTAGAAGCGTTCCTCTGGTCAGTTACCAATGGATAATGCTAAGGCTTAGCTTGAAGAATTATGATTGGCATTTTTAAGCGCAACAAATATGTCCTAAATATTGCTCGATGTTAATGTAAAGCGTGACTACTCTCTAGATGCTAGATACAACAAAATATAAGAAAAGCCACGCGTTCTGTATTTCGCTTTCGATTCAATTTGGTCTACGCGAAAATATAATCGATTGATTGCAGCTCAGAGCAGGCCCCATAAAAATATAAAGTATTATCTCAATGGGATCCAAAACCAGAAAAGGTCAAATTCACTCTTTAAGAAATCGAATAAAAATAAAAGACAACTATGTATATTGTTTTGAAATGGAATCGAAAACGAAATCGAGAACAGAACAAGATTTAATGCGGCTCATAAGAAAAAAAAAAAACAAATGAAAAGCTTAAAATGAGACATTTTAATCGAAATCGAAATACAACTCAGATGCGGTTCCAAGCATCAATTTCTCTTCAATTTCGCTCAAATGGTAATAGCTGAAATTCGATGAGAAATCGATGTTGGAAACATGTCTGAAATATTCGAAATAGTCAATACCTTTAAAAGCCCTGAATTGCTGTGAACTTGATAGAAACATGTGTGTTAGCTCCTAGAATGTATATGAATGTCAAATCGTGCTAAGTATATGTATGTCATAATGTTGCTCTTGATGTATTTGGGAATAGGTTTCGTTGGAGGCATGTCCAGTTGGTCGAACAGTTTACCCAATCCAATGAAGAACAAAATAGAATACGAATTCCAATTGAAAAATAAACGTATATTCGCTAGGATAGCAAAGGTGAAATCCTAAGGTCTAAGAACAATGTTAACATTTTACGCAGAAACAAACTTTTAACAAAACAAAAAAACAAATACATTTTTGTAATTGAGACTTTATATGGACAGTTATCGGATCAGGAAAACTTAGAATGCATTTTCATACACGTATTTCAAAAAATATTATTTACACTGTTGAACTCCATTTGGGGTTTTTTTTTTTTTTTAAATAGATGTCTTAGGGAAGCGGAAATACCCAAAATATACAAGAGTTAAAATGCGCAAATTAAAAAATAAAATATAAAAAATAAATATTAAAAAGAAAAAACACAGTGATAGCAAAAAACAAAAAACAAAGCTAATAAAAACCAACTAGAGTTAACTAAAGGAACACCTAAACAAATAAACAAAATTCAATAAAATCGAATTAATTAAATGGTCAAGCAAATTGTTAAGCACATGCCACACACACACACACACACACACACAGTACATCTAAGCATAAACAATTTATGAATAAACTTATTTATATGTGTACAACATAAATAAAGAGATTATCCACATTGAACCTTGCTCCACTTTGCTCCATTTGCACCTGCAGATCGGACACTGGCCGAAGCTAGAAGTATTTGTACGGGCGGACGGGCCATTTGTTATGCCATCATTTTATTTTATAGTTTTAGCATTTAAAACAAGTAGACGTCTCTTTTTTTTGTTATATATATATATATTTTTTATTTTCGAATCGATCAGAAAGATTGTTTACATAGTTGCTTTCGGTTGGAACATTTGTATATATTCTAAAGGTTTGCGAGATGTCCAAATCCAGATTAAAATCAATTGTAAAAAATTTTAATTGTACTAAAAGAATAAGAATTTGAGGCCTCTAGCTCGTATGTATATATATATATATGTATGTATGTATGCATATATGTAAGATTATATGTGTATGTATGTATGTATATGTGTATGTATGTATATGTGTATGTATGTATGTATGTATGTAAGTTTATATGTGTATGTATGTATGTATGTATATATGATATGTATGTATATATGTATGTATGTATGTATGTATATATGTATGTATGTATGTATATATGTATATATGTATATATGTATATATGTATGTATGTATGTATGTATGTATGCATGTATGTATGTATGTATGTATGTATGCATGTATGTACATATGTAAGTGAGCATGTATTTACGTATGTTTGTATGTACATATATGTGTGTATGTCAGTATGTTTGTATGAATGTATCTATGTACATATGTATGTCAGTATGTTTGTATGTACGTATGTTTGTATATATGTCTGTACATATGCGTGTATTTATGTACGTAAGTATGTATTTACGTATGTATATGTGTATATGTATGTATATGCGAATGTCTGTTTGTATAAGTGTGTATATATACATTGATCCATGTACGAAATTATGTATTATCTATTTATGTATGTATGTATGAATTTATGTGCACTTGCATAAACATGACTGTAAATATATGTATGTGTGCATGTATGTAGTTTGTATGTATGCGTGATTGTGCGCGTGCTTATATTTACATATAGTTGCATGTCTGTTTAAGTACGTATTTATGTATATGTAAATGTTTATATGCATGTGTGTATGCATGTATATGTGTATATATTATGTGTGGGCTTATATATGTAAGTAATTATATGCAAATATTTTGTATGTTTATATGTAACACCAAATTTACATCTAGCTGAGCTGCAAATTTAAAAAAAACGTATTCTTAAGTAATGCCCTTCTACTCGATTCTCATGAATTCAAGTAAGTCTGATAGGCCTCACTTCAAGTAGAGGTGGCGGCGGCTGGACCACAGGAGGAGACGGCGGCTACAGCAGGAGGCGGCTACCATCAGGAGGCGGCTACCATCAGGAGGCGGCTACCATCAGGAGGCGGCTACCATCAGGAGGCGGCTACCATCAGGAGGCGGCTACCATCAGGAGGCGGCTACCATCAGGAGGCGGCTACCATCAGGAGGCGGCTACCATCAGGAGGCGGCTACCATCAGGAGGCGGCTACCATCAGGAGGCGGCTACCATCAGGAGGCGGCTACCATCAGGAGGCGGCTACCATCAGGAGGCGGCTACCATCAGGAGGCGGCTACCATCAGGAGGCGGCTACCATCAGGAGGCGGCTACCATCAGGAGGCGGCTACCATCAGGAGGCGGCTACCATCAGGAGGCGGCTACCATCAGGAGGCGGCTACCATCAGGAGGCGGCTACCATCAGGAGGCGGCTACCATCAGGAGGCGGCTACCATCAGGAGGCGGCTACCATCAGGAGGCGGCTACCATCAGGAGGCGGCTACCATCAGGAGGCGGCTACCATCAGGAGGCGGCTACCATCAGGAGGCGGCTACCATCAGGAGGCGGCTACCATCAGGAGGCGGCTACCATCAGGAGGCGGCTACCATCAGGAGGCGGCTACCATCAGGAGGCGGCTACCATCAGGAGGCGGCTACCATCAGGAGGCGGCTAGAGCAGGAGGAGACGGCGGCAGCTTGAGCGAAGGAGGAAGCGGCATTAGTTCGAGCAGAGGAGAAGACGGTGGCTGCAACTATTGAGCTTGCTGCAGCCTGACCACAGGAGGAGGCGGCGGCCTTAACTATTAAGGAGTCTACAGCTTGACCACAGGAGGAGACGGCGACTTGAACTATGAAGGAGGCTGCAGCTTACCCACAGGAGGAGACTGCAGCTTACTCACAGGAGGAGACGGCGACTTCAACTATTGAGGAGGCGTAAGCTTGACCACAAGAGGAGACGGCGGAAGCTTGACCACAGGAGGAGTCGGCGGCTTCAACTATAGAGGAGCAATGGATGCTTTAACTCCAGAGGAGACGGCCGCAGTCCGGGCAGAGAAGGAGACTAGAGAGCAAAAGAAAAACTGGTACGTAATATAGACATAAATTTGTCTCTTTGCATTTTAAAGAAAAGTAACAACTATCACAATCGTATGCAGGCATGTTGGCTTGCATTTATGTATGTATTTGTTAAAAAAACAGTAATATTAAATACTACTCTTCTATGCGATTCTCATTATTTCAAGTAAGCTGCGTTTTAAGCTAATCAACAATATTTCTGCTTTTCTTCACTTTCAGTGACGTCATTGCAAGCAAGTTGGACTCCCACCTAATGATAGATGTCAATCAAATATTCGTGCGTGTGAATTAACAGGTGAGTACGCAATTACCAATATATATTTATCTCTATACGTAAAACTGTTTGTCCTGATTGACTGACTGACTGATTGTTACCTTATGTGACGGGCTTTTGAAAAATTCCATCCACAAGTATGAAAAATCGCTTATCACGTTTGCATGTAACTTTTTTGTTAACCATGCGATCGACATTAAAGTCATTTTCACAGATCTTTGTTCAAATTTGTGGGGTGTATCACACTTATCGCAAAATCAATTCCTCCTTGGGGGAAATGGCGGTGAAAGACTTGTTGGGCAATTAGGGTTTAATAGTCGACAGTTGATTAGTCGGTAAAAGGAGTATATTGTATTTGTGCACATGTATTTAACAGGCAAAAGAAAGGATCTGCGGCCTCATAAAGTATATATATTCTTGATCAGCATTAATAGCCAAGTCGATCCGTCCGTCCGTCCATACGTGTGAACGTTTCGATCTCAGCTCATCGATATAAGAGCTTGAGACTTGAAATTGAACATAGGTTCTCCTAGTGCCCGCGCAGTACAAGCTTGTTTCCGATAATCGATAACTTTTCTTATTCAAGCAATCGATAAAAATCGATACCGAAAACCTGTTTAATGAGAAGACTTTTTTATTAAATTAATTTTTATTACTGTCAAAGCAAAAGAATTCGTAGTACGAGCTGCAATTGGTGTTGGCAGCAGAGGGTTCAGGGCATTCCCTAGTCGGGAACTGCCACGGGAAACGCCAGAAAAAACTCGCTAGTACAAATACAGATATTGGAGTTTTAATTTTGTTATAGATTTGCCACTGGCCGTTGCAATCATAGCCTAGAAGCCAATATACACCAATACTGCCGCAGTACAGGGTATAGCAGGCACATTCATACTGCTCGTACGCATATTTCTGACGGTCAGTGTCAGCATTTAGGGTCAAGCAAAGAGCTTAACTTGTTTACTTACAACGCCATTCACGACACCGAAGCTTTTGCCAAAGCTCAAACCTGTCGCAGGGCAAGCGAGTGCGAGCGAGAAAGACAGCGCAGTGCAGCTCGTGTTTGGCTCTAAAATGACTTTAAGCTGAAGTCTATTAAGCTTATTAAGCAGCTGCCCATCCTCCCCCCCCTCTCAGCCAGAAGCGAAGGCGAGCAGGCGGCAGGCAATATTTCAATTAAGCATAGAATACAGGCATAAAACGTTTTATGCCCGCGTCCATGTGTGCGTGTGTGTGCACGCGCATGTGTGCGGGTGTGTATTTGTATAGGGCAAACAAGCTTTCGAGGGGCTTTATCAATTGAACGGCGCGATTTTTGGCACTGCCGCTGCTCAGTTGGTCGGCGAAATCGAAGGGGATCGCAGTGCATTGCGTCAGGCGGCGAATTCAAAATTGGCCAACAACAACAACAACAACAACAGCAACAACAAGACGATGACAACAGAAACAGCGACAACAACAACAACAGCAACAGCGAGAACGGCCCAAGAAGTGGAGGCCATGTTAAGCGAGCTCTCGAGCTGGTTCGAAAACGAACCCAACTTGCCCGACAAAATCGGTGAGTCCCCACACCAATTGTAAGGGACTCTATATTGGGCATAGGCAGGAATTAGTTTGCCGCAATTTGGCATAACTAACGTAAAGTAACAACGCATCTGGTCAAGCGAATCGGCTTCAGTTAGTCTTATCAACACAATCAAGACCCAGGTATATAGATTTATCTATACCTGATATTGCTTGTGGCTATTAAACCACAACAGCAACAGCCACAACAACAACAACAACAAAACCAAAGAAAACAATTTTTATAAGTAACGAGAAACGAGTATAGGCTGTCTTTGGCACACCGAAGATTTAAATACCCTTGCATATATATATCACAATATCACATATTTTCAAACGATTCTTTCGATGGAGCTATAAAGCATAGTAATGCAATCTTGATGACATTGCGCCTTTATATAAAAACAGCATAATTTAAATATAGATATATTGATAAACAAAGAAGTGTTCCATGCAAGAATCTACTTTTCAGCATGTTTCACATATTTCCGAGAATCCACCTTTATTGGCGGAAAGTGTGCGTCGTCCGATCGTATATTATGTGTGCATTAATTTTGTTCACTAATTGATTTTTGGAATCCACCGTTACAGGTGAAATAGGCTAAGGCACACAGATCGACCACTCGATCTAGCGGTATATAACATATATATATATACCTTATAGGCTCGGAGATATCGCCTTCTACACATTTCATGACAAAATTATAATACTCTCTAAAAGGCTATAAAAACAGCTTACTTTGGCACGTCAAAGATTAAATACCCTTAGAAAGGTCGAGTACGCTTCGTAGTTCTTAAATAGATAAACTTTATAGCCCAATCCATTTTGATCCGATGGGTGTTACATAATACCGATTTGTGGCTGACATGTGATAAGATACGTTAGGAAATAGCATTCCATACAATAACTCATATTTCGACTGATACTTTCTGGAAGGTAGAACTAACAAATGTCAAGTTTGATAATTCGAAAAACAAAAGATATAGATATAGCGATAGAGATAGATATATGCGCCCGATTCCAGCATGTGCATCAAAAGTATTTATCTTAAGTTGAAGTTACAGAGAAGAAGCAGCTGATACTGATCAAGAATATAAATATATATAGATACTTTATCAGGTGCCAGACATCTAATTCTTTGTGTTGCACAGTTCGCGATAAGACTTTTATACCCTCAGCAAGGGTATACGAAATACAATTAAATTCCGCATGCGAACAACAGCGTCTATTGTCGAGGTATTTTGTTGTAGTTGTTGTTTTTTTCCACATATACAATTGCATGTGTATAATTATGGAATTTCTAATGATTTACTGCAGAGCCGATCGTATTGCTACGCTTTCTCAAGTGCATGCACTATGAAGTGGAAAAGACGAAGACCCTAATCCAGCTCAACTATAGTCTGCGCAATAAGAATCCGAATATATTTCTGGATCGCAACATGGAGCACGAGTCAACGGCCAAGGGCCTGAAAGTATCGTAAGGCGCAAAACCCTTTAGCTTTCCATTCAATATCCTTGTGATTCTTTTAATAATAACACTTGTGCTTTCAGGGATTTACTCATTCTGCCAGGCGTTACACCGGAACGGCATAAGCTTCTCCTATTCCGCATGGCTGACCTCGATCCCAGCACGGTAAGCTTAGACTGTACATATTCATTAATATAAATATATATATTAACCTGTTTTGTGCTGGTTGACAGACTTACTGATTAGCTGTTGCTCTTTGATTATATGACGAACTGAATTCATATTTCAGTTATTTACAATTCCATCCATGCGGCTGGAACATGGGTGGAAACCGCGCCAAGCAACTTATTTATCGTTTATTCGAATTGCTTTTAACTCTGTTTCAAATATGGTTGAAAATGCATTGTTTTTGACATACAACCCGAGAATCCACCTTTATTGGTGGAATATATGCATTGTCCGATTTATTTTATTTTTACATACATTTCCAATCCACCGTCACGGGTGAAATACAGCTGGAAACAAGTTTTGGTTGGCCTAAAGCAAATTGTTAATGGTTCGATCTTAAAACTATTTATTTTTATATCAAAATTTGTAAACCCTAGCGCAACTCCGTGGAGGAGAGCAAAATCTTCTTTATGATGGCTGATGCACGCTTCACCGAACCAGATGTCGAAAGGCCGGCAACAGATACTGTCCAGGGCCAGGCCATTGGCATTGTTGACGATGATATTGCCGATGGGGATGTCCAGATCGTTGACATCAATGGCTATACGATGAGGCATTTGGCCTATGTTTCGATCTTCGTGCTGCGAGTCTACATGAGGTTTCTACAGGAGGCATATCCGTCGCGTCTGCGCGCCATACACATAATTAACTGTCCATCGTTTCTGGACCGTATGATGGCCATGATGAAGCCTTTTATTAGGGAGGAGGTCTACCAAATGGTATGTGAGCGATTTTAATTTCATGCCGATTTATATCTTATCGTTTGCCAGATCAATTATCATACCGAGGGCATGGATAGCCTCTATGAGCTGGTGCCCAGGGATATGCTGCCCGTGGAATATGGAGGTAAAGCTGGCACAATTGCCGAAATCAAACAGCACTGGTTGCAAATCTTGAAGGATAAAACGTAAGTCCATGCAGTTTTAAGGTATATAGATTTATATATATATTGATCGGAAGTAGGAAATATCCAATTACCAAACTTGTATAAGCTGATTCATTTCGGCTACTCAAACGATTTAACCGAGTATCGAGCTAAGCTTCATTCGAAACGACGATTCATACAACCCGAGAACATTCATACAAACAAAGCTCGACTTACAACATGTTCGAGCTAACCAGAAATACATTCGTTGCAACAAGCAAAATAGTCG